CTGTGAAGAAACTGTGATTCTGCGCATGACTTGCTCCTGCTTAGCCTGGAATTCCAAACTTGGTGCATTTACTACGGGACAGGGCAGTGTTTGCCTTTCAGAATGAAAAGCGTGGAAGGTTCCCCCCCCCCTGCTTTCAGACCTTGACTGTGATGTGGGCTGGAACGGCCTTTTGGATGCAGGTGTGGGACAGAGTTTGTCTCCACCCCCACCCCCCCGCATCCCTGTACTTGTGCCAGTGCAGGAGAATAGCCACAGTGTGCCGTCGCGGGCAGCGTTGTCAGCGAGAGTTACTTGTGCCCTTCGAGGATCCCTTATCCCTTTTTAATGAAAACATAACAAGAATTGTTCTATTTACTTCCTTTTGCAGCAAAAGTGGGGTTTAGTGAGTGGCTGCTCCAGCCATTGCACCTTGTCGGTTTTCCAACCCAAGTCCCCCTCTTTGGGAATCCACGCCAGAAAGGAAGATATCGCTTTGGGTGCCTTCGCACACACTACGTAATGCACTTTCAGGGCACTTTGCAGTGGGATTCGACTGCGTGAAATGGCAAAATCCGCTTGCAAACAGTCGCTGAAGTGGATTGAAACTGCATGATTTAGCATGTGTGAAAGTGCCCTTTGTGTCTGGAATGGAGAAGAAGAAGAAGAGATTGGATTGCTATCCCACCCTTCACTACCCAAAGGAGTTCAGAGCGGCTTACAACCTCCTTTCCCTTCCCCTCCCCACAACAGACACCCTGTGAGCAGTGCTCCCTCTAAGCTGTGGAGTCTTGTGAGCAAAAATTCTACTTCGTGAGTTACCGACATTAAAGTTGTGAGCCGGTGATTTGACTGCTGCAGAAATTACTTTGCTCCGGAGCCCTCCTTCCTGAGCTAAGACAAAAATGTGTGAGCCAGAGGCTAAAAAACTGTGAGCTAGCTCACACTGACTCAGCTTAGAGGGAACACTGCCTGTGAGGTAGGTGGGGCTGAGAGAGCTCTTTCGAGGACTGCCCTTGAGAGAACAGCTGTAAGAGAACTTGTGACTGACCCAAGGTCACACCAGCAGCTGCATGTGAAGGAGTGGGGAATCAAACCTGGTTGGTTCTCCCAGATTAGAGTCCGCGCTCTCAACCATTACACCAAACTGACTCTGATCTGCTTCCTGCCTTAACCTCATCCTTAGAATCTGCTCCTTTTTCCATGCCCACATATCTTTGTTTGTTTTTGTTATTTGTATTCACATTATTTATAGTTCGCCTTTTTCACCTGGACTCAAGGCGGATTACACAGCGTGGACCAATGGAGTTGACAGGATGGGATATTCAGTAAACAATGAGATAGGACTAGGGTTGTATAACCCACCAGAAACCTAAAAAGAGAAATGAAGCAAAACACAAGGGTGCTTTCACACACACTAAGTAACGCACTTTCGACCCACTTTCAGTGCACTTTGCAACGGGATTTTACTGTGCGAAATGGCAAACTCCACTCGCAAACGGTCGCTGAAGTGGATTGAAGCTGCATGATTTAGCATGTCTGAAAGCACCCTTAGCCGTAACACGACACCTTAAGTGACGCAAACGTTAACACAGTACAATCCTAGTTTCAGCAAGCTGTACGCAGTAGTCTCAACCGCAGCCCCTTGTCATTTTTCCAAGTAACTTTGTGAATCATTTCATACCATGCAACTCTTTGCATCGTTTACAGAAAGTTAGGAGAGTGCAAAATTTAAGTAGGTGGGGGGGACCGTGGGTAAAACGAAAGTCTCCTAATCAAACTGCAAGTTTGCCGTCTTTCAGCGCGATCGGCCACCTTACATAGAATGTAAGGAACTGCCTTACCCGGAATAAGTCCCTTATTCTGTCGTCCACTCTGCCTGGGAAGGTCTCTTTCCCAACACCTGGTACGCGAGGCCTCCCAGTTCAGGACGGGAGGGACTGAACCCGGGACCTTCTCCGTGCAAACTGAGTCCTGTCCAGTGTTTCCCCTAAGCTGAGTTAGTGTGAGCTAGCTCACAGTATTTTAGCCCCCGGCTCACAGGGTTTTGTCTCCGCTCAGGAAGGATGGCTCCAGAGCCAACTAATTTATGCAGTAGCCAAATTGCTCGCTCACCACTTTAATGCCGGTAGCTCAGAAAGTAGAATTTTTGCTCCCAAAACTCCACGGCTCAGAGGGAACATTGGCTCCTGTCCAATGTTCCCTCTAAGCTGTAGAGTCCTGTGAGCAAAAATTCTACTTTCTGAGCTACCGGCATTAAAGTGGTGAGCGAGCAATTTGGCTACTGCATAAATTAGTTGGCTCTGGAGCCATCCTTCCTGAGCTGAGACAAAAATGTGTGAACCGGAGGCTAAAAAACTGTGAGCTAGCTCACACTAAGTCAGCTTAGAGGGAACACTGCTCCTGTCCCCTTCTGAAAACTCCACCACTGATGATGTCACTTCCTGCTCCTTCAGGATCTGGCTGGACTTGGCGCTCGGACTATAGGAAGCAATTTCACTGTGTTTGCCCAATCAGTGTAATCGTGTGGATTTCTCTGTTCCGGTCTTCTGATTTCACCTTCCTCTTGCTAGGCCTTTGCCTGCCTAATTTGTCAGCCGCTCCCAAAAGCGCTGCGATTTCTCCTTTCGTTTACTCTTGTTATGTGCGTCAACCTCCACTGTTATTTTTCTACCCCTGGTTCTGTACAAAGTTGCTGCCTTTAAATATCAGTCACCTCCATCCCCCAACAGTGTCTTCATCCCGGTGTGTATGTACCATTTTGGAATACGAAAGACATTGTGTGTATCAGTCATTGTGGTGCACACGTGAACACATGAAACTGCCTTATACTGAAACTGCCTTATACTGCATCAGACCCTCGGTCCATCAAAGTCAGTATTGTCTATTCAGACTGGCAGCATCTCTTGTGGGCAGTGTTCCCTCTAAGCTGAGTTAGTGTGAGCTAGCTCACAGTTTTTTAGCCTCTGGCTCACACATTTTTGTCTCAGCTCAGGAAGGATGGCTCCAGAACACACTAATTTATGCAGTAGCCAAATCACCTGCTCACAACTTTAATGCTGGTAGCTCACAAAGTAGAATTTTTGCTCACAGGACTCTACAGCTTAGAGGGAACATTGCTCGTGGGTCTCAGGCAGAGGGCTTTCACATCGCCTCAACCCGATCCTTTTAAACGGAGATGCTGGAGATTGAACCTGGGACCTCCTGCATGCCGCGCCGAGGCTCTGCCACGGAGCCACAGCCCCTCCCACGAGGGTGCAATGTTTAGTGCGTTGGGCTAGGGCTAGAGAGACCTAGGTTCCAGTCCCGGCTTTGCCACGAAGCTCGTCTTTATTCCGCTCACTCAACCTAACCTACCTCACAGGATTGTTGTGAGATTGCAATGGAGGAGGGGCGAACCGTGTAGTCTCATGAGCTCTCTGGGGGAGAGCCAAGATAAAAATGGAAGCAATTGTATGTTCTAAGCAGACATGGCTGCTTCCATTGTCGTCTGAGGAAAGTGGCATCTTAGATCTTGATGGTGAGACGACAAAGGACACCGTCCATGATCTGCCTAGCCAAGGGGTCTCCAACACGGGGTGCCCATGGGTGCCATGCCGCCCACCAAGTGTTGTCTCCTGGTGCCTGCCAAGTGGATGGGACCACGTGGCGCTTTTCCCAGCAAGGCTTCTGATTGGCCGTTGGAGGTTTGATCGGTGGTGCGGATTTTTAAAACCGTCGCTTTGATATCAGCTGCCACCACAGCCCAGGGATCTCCACTGTGTGGCTGAAGGGAAGCGGTGGTGGCAGCCATTTTGTGGCTGGCTCCGCCTCTTGCAGCAGCCATTTTGTGTTGGAAGTCCAGAAGCGCTCGCAGGCTCAAAAGGCTTGGGGACTCCTGGCGTAGCCCATTGCCCTGAGCATTGGCCGTTTTTCTCGATTTAGCTTCTTCAGGTTCATTAGAACTCAAAAATGCATTTGTCTTCAGGGCGGCATCAGCTGGCCAAGGCTCTTGAGGCAGTGACTGTTTCGAAAGGGAGCGCCAGCCATTCTCCAGGGAGCTTGGTGGTTGCGGGCCCAGGACAGCAAATTTGAATTAGTGGCTCTTTGTGCCAGGCCTGTAGCCAGTATTATTTTTAAGTCAGGGGGGCATTTAAATTTCTTAGGGGGCACTGGCTAATCAAATTAAAGGAATACCTGGCTCCTTCCCTGCACACTGGGCTGGATGGGAAGTGGGGGGGCCTTGGCCAGTAAGTCAGGGGGCCTAGCCCCAAAATGCCCCCTGTAGGTACGGGCCTGGTTTCTGCTTCCCAACTAAACGGCTAATGCAATCCCAGGCCATGCCTGTCCCCTGCCGTCCCTGTGTCCTTTCATACAATAAACGGAACAACTTCCCCGCCTCCTGAGTGTGCTTTTTTTGCATCAAGTCCCACCAAGGGCATCTCAGTGGACCAATTCCTGTGGCTGTCGAGGAGATGCCTTCTCTTTGGGGACTCAACAAATCCACACGTTCGGAACACCAGTGTGGGATCCTTTATAAGGTTTTCACAATAGGGTCGCTTTCACGCGGCTTCCAAGTTTGCAGGCCAGTTTTAAGTGGTATGTTAGCCCCAGTCGCATGGTCTCGAAAGCTAAGCAGGGTCAGCCCTGGTTGCCGCTTGGACGGGAGACCACTCCAGGGTCGCCACGCAGAGGCAGGCGATGAATGGCAAAACTCCTCTGTTCGTCTCTTGCCTCAAAACTCACGTGGGGTGGCTGCAACACAGCTGTGACCCGATGGCCAAAAAATCCAAACAATCTATGTTATATGGAGTTTATTTTCAAGGCTTTGCCCATCCCAAAACCATGGGGTATAATGGGGTCAAATTAAACATCGCCCTCGTCACCCTGGAGGTTTCATTTGGGCACTAATGGGTCTTACGGGTAACAGAAAAATCTCCCCGGTACTGACCAAAAAAACATTCCCGTCCTCATGTCGTATCGGGCATCGTTTCAGCACAGTGTGATGTCAGCTTTTGTTTCTCTTCTCTTTTGCTTGACAGCGTCATCAGCAAAGTGGTAACGACACCGGAGGCTAAACCATCCTCTCTCCTGGTTCGGCCCAAAACGCCGCCACCTCCCCCATCCCCGACACCGGCTCCTGTCCACGTACCCCCTCCTCCGCCTCCGGTCATCCCGCCGCTGCCTCCAGCCACGATTTCCCCGGCTCTGATTCCTCCTCCGTCTCCTGCGATGTCCGCCGCTGGAGGCTCCAAAGCCCCCGTCCGAAGCGTGGTCACGGAAACCGTCAGCAATTACGTGGTACGTAAAAGAACGTATTTGAGCACAAATGTGTGTATGTTGATGCTAGTCTACCAAGCCCTTGGTCGGGGCAGGTTTTGTTTGTTGTCTTTACACAAGGTGTAAAATCAGCTAGAAGGGCTGCAGTGGCTCAGAGGTTAGGACGCTGAACTGCAGACTGGAAGGCCGGTAGTTCAGCAGTTCGAGACCCGAGTGCCACGTGACAGAGTGAGCTCCCGTCTCTGGCCCCAGCTCCTGCCAACCTAGCAGTTTGAAAGCAAGACATTGCAAGTAGATCAATAGGTACCGCTTTGGTGGGAAGCTGACAGCGTTCCGTGCGCCTCGGCGTCTAGTCATGCCGGCCACATGACCACGGAGATGTCTTTGGACAGCGCCGGCTCTTCGGCTTGGAAACGGAGATGAGCACCACATCCCTATAGTCGGATTCGACTGGTTTTCGAGCAAGGGAAACCTTTACCTTTACCTAAAATCAGCTAGAGGCCTAAAAATGCCTGTCAAGCTGCCTTCGATTCAATTTGTCTGTCGCTACTTGCTGCACAGGTTATTCTTTTTATTTATTCTATTCATTTCTCCTTGTTCGGATCGCTACTCTCCTTCCCGCAACAGCTTTTTGTGGTTTGTTTGGTTTTTTTTAAAAAAAAAATCCTACAGATTCTGAATTTCATAGGAATCAGAAAACCGTGCGTTCTTAAAATTGATACCAAAATTGCTAGCGATAACCTGCCAGTCGACGCGAGCCCGACTCGAGAAACCCCAGCGGCCTTCGTGCCAGGAATACTGTAATTCCGAATAATGTATCCTAAATATGCCACGTCGGAAAGGGAGAGGTGGTCGCGAACGGTCTCCCCCGCTCTCTTTTCCATTTACCCTTCAGTAAATGGAACGGCGGGATAAATGTCAAAGGCATGGAAAGTTACTCAGTAACCATTTTTATACCCTTGATCTTATCAGTTAGTTGAGTTGGAAGAGTTTGGCTAATAAGTAATAAGACAGCAATACACACACACCGTTCTCCGAGTAGGAGATGCCGGCATTCTGTCGCAGAAGCCAGAGGAAGAGAAGGTGAGCTTGCAAAGCGAGGAAAGCTGTCCCGGCCGTAACCCCAGCCTGCCTCGCCGGCCTCCCAGTGCAAGGCACAGTACAGGGAGCACGTCTCTACTCTCTCAGAGACGAGCCAGCGATCTTGCAGATCCAGGGAGTCACAGCCAAGAGACGCATAAGGTGGGGGTGGCGGAGCCGGCTGCGGGAAACGGGGAAGTCTGTGCTACATATCTGCTCTGACAGCCCGATCTCATCTAATCTTGGAAGCTGAGCAGGGTCAGCCCCGGTTAGCACTTGGGTGGGAGACCCCCCCAAGAAAGTCCAGCGCGTCACTACGCAGAGGGGGGCAGTGGCAAGCCACCTCTGCACGTCTCTTGCCTTGGAAATCTTCTGGGGTCACCATTAACACAGCTACAGCTTGACAGCGCTTTCCCCCACCAATAGCAAATGGTAACGACATCTTCCATAAGCACAGGGCATTTTTTATTTTTTTATTTTTTTGCCCTCCCCGGCCTGGACGGTCCAGGCTCTCCCGATCTCATCTGACCTCAGAAGCTAAGCAGGGTCAGCCCTGGTGAGTACTTGGACGGGCGGCCAGGCCCAATGTTCCCTCTAAGCTGTGGCATCTTGTGAGCAGAAGTTCTGCTTTGTGAGCGACGGGCATTAAAGTTGTGAGCGAGTGATTTGGCTACTGCATAAGTTAGTTTGCTCTGGGGTCCTCCTTCCTGAGCTAAGGCAAAAATGTGTGAGCCAGAGGCTAAAAAACTGTGAGCTGGCTCACACTAACTCGGCTTAGAGGGAACACTGGCGGCCACCCAGGAAGTCCAGGGTCGCTACGCAGAGACAGGCCGTGGCAAACCACCTCTGTTTGTCTCTTGCCGTGAGGACTCTGCGGGGTCACCAGAACTCAGGATTGACAGCGTTTTCCACCCCAACATAATGCCCTCACCAGTATCAGTCCCTGAGTCTGGGTAAGGTAAAGGTAAAGGTTTCCCTTGCTCGAAAGCCAGTCGAATCCGACTCTAGGGATGTGGTGCTCATCTCCGTTTCCAAGCCGAAGAGCCAGCGCTGTCCGAAGACGTCTCCGTGGTCATGTGGCCGGAACGACTAAACACCAAGGCGCACGGAACGCTGTTCCCTTCCCTCCGAAGTGGTACCTATTTATCTACTTGCAATTCCCTGCTTTTGAACTGCTAGGTTGGCAGGAGCTGGAACTAGAGACGGGAGCTCACTCCATCACTTCTTAGCCTTGGACGATTTGCACAATCCAAGGGTTTTTTGACTAGACGCCGAGGCGCATGGAACGCTGTCAGCTTCCCACCGAAGCGGTACCTATTGATCTACTTGCAATGTCTTGCTTTCGAACTGCTAGGTTGGCAGGAGCTGGGATCAAGAGACGGGAGCTCACTCCGTCACATGGCACTTGGGTCTGGAACTGCCGAGCTACCGGCCTTCCGATCTGCCGTTCAGCGTCTTAACCTCTGAGCCACCGCAGCCCCTGAGTTTGGGTAGCACCTGACAATCAAAATAACTAAATGAGGGTGTTTGCTTTTGCTGTTCAGCCCAAAGGCTCCTTAGGTAAAGGTAAAGGTTTCCCTTGCTCGAAAGCCAGTCGAGTCCGACTCTAGGGTTGCGGTGCTCATCTCCGTTTCAAAGCCAAAGAGCCAGTGCTGTCCGAAGACGTTTCCGTGGTCATGTGGCCGGCATGACTAAACACCGAGGCGCACGGAACGCTGTTACCTTCCCACCGAAGCGGTACCTATTTACCTACTTGCAATGTCTTGCTTTCGAACTGCTAGGTTGGCAGGAGCTGGAACTAGAGACGGGGGCTCACTCCATCACTTCTTAGCCTTGGACAATTTGCACAATCCAAGGGTTTTTTGTTTTGTTTTGTTTTTACCATTCAGACCCTTAACACTACCATTTTGTTGTTGGATTCCATCAACGTTCCTTCTCCCAAAACAGGAAGTTGGATTTGTTTTGGGTGCTTGCAGGCAGGGTGTGAGGGCGGTGGGGCCGCCCCATCACTCAGTGACAGGGCACAGGCACATGAACACATGAAGGCTGCCTTATACTGAATCAGACCCTCAGTCCATCGAGGTCAGTAACGTCTACTCACACTGGCAGCTGCTCTCTAGGCAGAGGTCTTTCACATCACCTCCTACCTGGTCCTTTCAGCCGGAGATGCCGGGGACTGAACCTGGGACTTTCTTGCATGCAAAGCAGAAGCTTTTCCACTGAGCCGTGGCCTCTTCCACTGTGCCACACCCTTCCATGCCAGAAGGTCCCAGGTTCAAGCCACGGCACCCTGTCAGTCAAGACTATTCAATTACAGAGGCGGAGATTTGTTGATTCCAGATGGATGAAGAAATACACCTCCAGTTTGGTGTAGTGGTTAGGAGTGCGGACTCTAATCTGGGGCAGCCGGGTTTGATTTATTTATCATTTGTTTATTATTTTTGATTTATATCCCGCCTTGCCTGCACACTCCCATTCACCACTCCTCCAAATGCAGCTGCTGGTGTGACCTTGGGTCAGTCACAAGTTCTTTCAGAGCTGTTCCCTCAGGCGCAGTTCTCGAGAGAGCGCTCTCAGCCTCACCTCCCTCACAGAGTGTCTGCTGTGGGGAGGGGAAGGGAAAGGAGATTGTAAGCCGCTCTGACACTCCTTCGGGTAGTGAAGGGCGGGGTATAAATCCAATCTCTTCTTCTTCTTTCCTGACTAACAGATGGCTCTGCCACAAATCTTTCTCTCTTTTCTGATTACCGTGCTGAAAATAACACATTTTCAGATTTTCTTCCTTAAACAATGAGGGATAGAAAGTTTTATTTTAGAAAAAAGAAAGGGAGCAGTGTCCCAAGATGACAACTGAACTGCCCGATCAAGGCATCTCGGGGCTACAGGGTGATCCAGATTCCACCATTCTGAGTGGTGTGGAAATACCTGAATTGTTTCGGGTACACTTTGATATGGGCCTTTAAAAGAGGCAGTTCAAATTCTCGGCTCTTTCTGATGTGCAGGGTGCCTATAGAGGCGCCGCATTCCAGCCTTCTAAATCCCATAGAAACGCATAACAATAGGATACCTCTGTGAGTGCCCAGACACCTTTGTAATATCACGCCTGTGTCAGTGCTGGAATCACTCAATAGCTTTGAAGGGTGTAATCGGGAGTGCATCGCCGTCTTTGAGAGCTCCCTATAGCCACGCTGCCAACTTCTCCCTGCTTTTTTAACCCAGATCCGAGATGAATGGGGCAACAAGATCTGGATCTGCCCGGGCTGCGAGAAGCCAGACGACGGCAGTCCGATGATCGGCTGCGACGACTGCGATGACTGGTATCACTGGTGAGTGGCGTAGGCCTCCCCTCGTTCCTTAAACTAGGATGTGGAACAGGACCGTTATTTAGGGATGCCAGCCTCCAGGTGGGAGCTGGGGATCCCCTGGAATCAGAGCTCATTTCCAGACTACAGAGATCTGTTCCCCTGGAGAAAATTGATGCTTTGGAGCAATGTTCCCTCTAAGCTGTAGAGTCTTGTGAGCAAAAATTCTATTATGTGAGCTACTGGTATTAAAGCTGTGAGTGAGTGATTTGGCTACTGCATCAGTTAGATTGCTCTGGAGCCACCCTTCCTGAGCTAAGACAAAAATGTGTGAGCCGGAGGCTAAAAAACTGTGAGCCAGCTAACTCAGCTTAGAGGGAACACTGCTTTGGAGGGTGAACTCTGGCATCGTACCCCATTGAGGTCCCTGTCCTCCCCAGGCTCCACCCCCAAATCCCCAGGAGTTCCCCAACCAGGATCTGGTCACCGTACCCCCCTGTCCCCCACTGATGGGCAGGGGGCACCTGGCAACTCTAGATTGGTTCCAGGTTTTGGGAGGCCCTGTGCCAAGAGTTCCCAACCAATGCGCCCTCTAAGCTGTGGAGTTCCTGTGAGCAAAAATTCTGTATTGTGAGCTACTGGCATTGAAGTTGTGAGTGAGCGATTCGGCTACTGCATCAATTCGTTTGCTCTGGAGCCCTTCCTGGGCTAAGGCAAAAATCTGTGAGCCAGAGGCTAAAAAACTGTGAGCTGGCTCACACTAGCTCAGCTTAGAGGGGACATTGTGAATCCCAACCCCTCTCCTCTGCCCACCATCAGTCCCTCATGCCCTCGTTCCCTCCCACCTGCTCGAGTGTCCTCCCCGTGTCTGTCCAGAGGCACTCTCACTGCCCATGCTCATAGCTGCCTGCAGACCATTCCCCAGCAGCACCCGGTGCAGCTGAGAACAGGGGTGGCAGAGTGCAAGGAAGTGAGTGGACCGGGGTGGGGTGGGGGGCTGGTGGCAGTGGGCCTGCCAGAAATACTCTGCTCCAGCAGCTGCCCCATCTGACAGTACGTTGACGCCGGCCTTGATGTAGAATCATAGAGTTGGAAGGGGCCTCCAGGGTCACCTAGTCCAACCCCCTGCACAAGGCAGGGAATTCACAAAGACCTCCCCACACACACACAACCCCCAGCGACCCCTGCTCCATGCCCAGAAGATGACAGAAAACCCCCCAGGATCTCCAGGCAAACTGGCCTGAAGAATAATGGCTTCCTGACCCCAAAGTGGCGATCAGCATTTTCCCCTGGGCATGTAAGAAAGGGCCACAAGAACTAAGCAGTGAGGCAACCCTTCCTGCCCTCCCTTCTCGTGATCTGCCTAAGTTCACAGAATCAGCATGGCTGTCAGATGGGCCATCTAGCCTCTGCTTAAAAACCTCCCAAGAAGGAGAGCCCACCACCTCCTGAGGAGGCCTGTTCCACTGAGGAACCGCTCCAATCGTCAGGAAGTTCTTCCTAATGTTCAGCCGAAAACTCTTTTGATTTAATTTTAACCCGTTGGTTCTGGTCCAATAAGAACATAAGAACATAAGAGATGCCAATGTTGGATCAGGCCATCAGACATTTAAATTTTTTCATAGTCGCTTGGAGGTGACTCTTGTGCTCGGAGGTCATAGAATCACGAGAGTTGGAAGGGGTCCTACAGGCCATCTAGTCCAACCCCCTGCTTCTGTGCAGGATCTGCCTCAAGCATCCCTGACAGGTATTTCCCCATCCTCTGCTTGACGACTGCCAGTGAGCAATTGGGTGTTTTAAAAACAGCCCCGCAGCTAGGGATTTTTGTGTGTGTGAGGGGGCCTTGGGGAGGCCAGCTAATTAAATCGGGGGGGGGGGGGCAGCTGCCCTCCCTCCCAGCAAGGGCAGCCCTTCCCTGTATCCTATGGCTCCCTTCCGCTAGCGGTGCAAGGAGCCTCCTGTCCTTCCTAGAGCCATGGTGCCCAGCCCAATTCCGTAGCAATCAACCACTTTGGAGTCCCTGAACCTGACCGTTGCTTCATGATGTCAGCAGTGCTGTAGTTTCATCCTCCCAATCTTGTAGCTGACCGTGACTTCAGATGTTCTGGAGCCTCAACGCCAAGGCTGTGTATAGATGCTCAACGAACAATAGCCAATTGTGTACACAAAATATGTATTGTGTTGCTGTGAAATTCAAATAGATACAGAGTATTATATAACATGTACAATAAAGGTGTGCAACTTCAAACCGACGTGCAATTACAGAACCGATGTGCAACTTCGAACTGCAAAAACCGTTTTTTGCTACTCGTGAACAAGTCCGTAGACAGTTAACAAATCATCAACCTTCATACAAGACGAATACGTTCCTATGAGCAGTGTTCCCTCTAAGCTGAGTTAGTGTGAGCTAGCTCAGTTTTTTAGCCCCCGACTCAACAAGTTTTTGTCTTAGCTCAGAAGGGATGGCTCCGGAGCAGACCAATTTATGCAGCAGCCAAATCGCTCGCTCACAACTTTAAAGCCAGTCGCTCACAAAGTAGAATTTTTGCTCACAAGGCTCCACAGCTTAGAGGGAGCATTGCCTACGAGTGTTTGCAAGGTGTATCAAATATCTAAAGGCGGGCCACTGTGTTCAACAGAGAGAGAGAAATCAAAATCTAGCCTCCTGTACAGAAATTACATAAATGCAGGGCTTTTTTTGTAGAAAAAGCCCAGCAGGAACTCATTAGCATAATAGGCCACACCTAACAACAGAAGCTCATTAGCATATCCAGCCACACCCATGAGAGCATAGCTCATTAGCATATTAGGCTGCACCCCCATGTTACCAGAAGTGTCGACATCCAGCCACACCCACCTTTTGCTTCTTATTCTGTTTACCTTGTTTGTTGTCAAAACCCAGGGCCTTTTTTTGTAGCAGGAACTCCTTTGCATGTTAGGCCACACACCCCTAATGTAGCCAATCCTAACGAGTTTCTGCTATTGGGTGTGGCCTATTATGCTAATGAGTTCCTGCTGGGCGTGGCCAACTCGGGAGCCAGCCGGAACTCCGTTCCTGTGCGTTCCTGCCCAAAAATAGCCCTGCATAAATGGGATCCCACTTAAAATAAGCTGAACGCAGCAGTATAGACCACAGTCGCTAATCATTTATCCAAGCAAGTTTGTCAAACCGTTTTATTAGTTTTGATTTCTCTCTCCCTCTGTTGATACAGAGTATTATATAGAAGAAGGCTCCCTCTCCTCTCCACCTTTATTTTTGATATGCCTTGCGAACTCTCATTGACACTTATTATTCTTGTATGAAGGTTGATGATTTGTTAACTTTATACAGACTTTTTTCCAAGTAGAAAAAATGGTTTTTGCCATTCGAAGTTGCACATCGGTCCTGTTCAGAAGAAGACTCATGAAACGAACCCATTATCCAGAAATGTCATCATATTTGTATTTTGGACCCTTATTGTACATGCTACATAATACTTTGTATTTGAATTTCATAGCGCGCTCGTTGCTGAGATAACAGTAAATGCTTTTCCTCTTGGAACACTCGTCTGTTTCCTTACATTTGTGTGTGTGTGTGTTCGTCAACCTCCCCAGGCCTTGCGTTGGAATTACGGCAGCTCCCCCCGAAGAAATGCAGTGGTTCTGCTCCAGGTGTGCCAGCAAGAAGAAAGATAAAAAACACAAGAAGTGGAAACACAAAGCCCACTGAAGTCGTCGCAGAGATTTCCCGGACTGTCGCTTCAGCACTTCTGCCCCGACTTCTTTTGTGGAGGAATTCTGCCGCCCCCGTCCGTCACCATCAAGTTTCCGGGATTGTGATTCTTGCAAGAATCCCGAAGAAGCAGATATGGTCTGTTATGAGCCGGCTTTTTTTCTCTCTTTTCTTTCTTTTTAGCCTCCACTCCCATCATCAAATGACTCAGGCCTCGACCAAGAATTGTCTGCCACGGACTCACCGGCTGAAAAGCCACGGACCGAGCGGCTCTTACATGCCAGCAGGCGCATTGGCATTTGTAAATACCGCTGCCCTGCCCCGTCTTGTCTGTCCTTCTTCCGAGCCCCTACCCAGAGAAACGGGAAAGGGTTTGCAAATCCAAGCAGCCGTCTTAGGAGAGCCGCTCGGAACGATTCCGAAAGCTCGCCGCTCCCCATCCCGCAGTCGGATAATCCTAAATGACACAGGGAGGGGGTGAAGCGGCTGGTAAATATTTTTGTGATAAGAACATATGGAGCTTTTCTTCTCTCTTTTCTCCCGCTCCACCCCCCCCCCCTCCCCTTTTGGTTTCTGAGACTTAACACAAATAAAACAAAACACTTGAGTTTTTTGTGAAGTGGCTTCTGGTTTTTTTTAAAAAGAAAAGCTGCTTTTGTGGCCCG